TAAAAAATGCATTTGCTTTTATTCGTGGAATTGTCAACTCATAAAACATTTTAGACTTAAGTGATAATGCTAATAATTATTAATATTTCTGGTTCAATTAAAAGAACGTTTTCCTTCAAAGTTTAACCGTTACTTCAAACAATTTTTTTAAAAGTAAAACTATGAATTATATATCATAGTAAAATTCTCACAGTACAGATCTCCAAGGGACATCCTAAAGACATCCAATGAACGTTCCCATTCCACTAAATGTCCTAAAAATATTCTCAAGTGTCTTTTGGATAAAGTATAATGTACGGGCAGTAAATTCTGCTTTAAAAAGTATATAAGAATAGAATATCATCATTAATAAATTTTGTTATCAAGAAAAATAAAAGAGTAAAAGTCCAAAGTTTTTTAACAATTCAACTTTTATGTTGTTTCGCGTTACTTATAAATTGTTTTCTTATTAAAATTCGAAAAATATAAAATAGTGGGTAGAACACAAGAACCGCTATCTAACGAGTTGAAAACGACGGGAACGGGGCGCAGGGCACTCCAGAATAGCATATAAACGCATAAACTCGCACCACTACTAATAACGGGTGACGCAGACGTCCGATACTCCAACGCTCCTCACTCCTGACTCCTGTGTGTCGTGCTTAGCACGGCTATTGCGCGCGCAATGAATCAGACCGCGCCAGTATCGTGTATTCCTGCAGGAAAGATGTCGAAGACGAAGAAGGTGCTGGACGAAGCCCGGGAAATCCAGAATCCCGAGCTGGACCTCGCGGACAAAGGCATCGCAACGTTCGAGGAAATGCCGGGATTGCGTGAGTCTCATCCAAGCGTCCTCGCGAGCGCGTCATCGCGAGATCGCCAAATTAGGCAACTTGTCGCTGGCCTCTCGCTCCGCGATCCGCACTACGGCCATCTGCGCGGATCAGATCACGTGGGCGACTCCGCGTATGCGCGCGCGCTCACTCACCCGCCTTTTAAATTTGACACTTCGCGTTTGATTTAGAATAATGCGGACGATTAAAGATAATACAATTTAGATTGCGCGAACGCAAATTTTTAAACTTACTGCACTGAAATGTTAACATAAAGAAGATTCTTTTTCCGCTTTGAAATCATAAAAATTTCAAGAAAATAGGCTGCTTGCTTTCCTTTTAGGAAATTATCGACCTAATATGTCATATTCTATCTTTTTTAACAGTCAATGAATAACAAAAATAGAACGATATTTGTGTCGACTGTCTCCTAAAATCGCAGTTATATTATAATTTATTCCAAAATATAATTTCGAAATGTTAAAATATCTCTTAAAATTTGAATAGAATTTTTTTCAGATTTTTTCGAATTACACATACAAAAGAATATGTTTATGTGCTTCTTACGAATCTGAGGATGAAGTTACA